GTACTTCCCTTGAGGTTAGCCTTGAGAGCATATTCTCCGTCCTCTGCAACAAAAGTGATCCCAAATCATTCAAATATTCTGAATCTATTAACATGCATTATAAAATGAAACACTAACCTGTTCGAAATGCGAAAGATACTTCCCATCAAGTGTAACGACCACACGATTATTACCATCCACTCCTTTAATTTTGTCCACAGAGCAATAGAAGTCTATTGCCGACATGCTAAACAAATACACACACAGAGTAACAAAGACTCAGCTTTTAAAGGGCATGACATATATGCACATAACAGGAAATAACAAAGACCGATATATATATATATATATAGATCACTCTCACATTCAAAATTGGCACATTGAGAAGCCAACTAGGACCAAGGGACGAAAAACCGAATGCTGAGCAACAAGAAATCAATCGTTTCTCACATACAGAAGAGTGCCAACACATCCTCTTAGCATGTTCCAGAACAAATCGGATAAATTTTTGACATTTCAAGCTTCTACTTTAACCAATTCCTTATTTCGATCCAAGGGCGTTCTAGTTCAGCTATAAAGTGTTAAACGACTAGGTTTAACTACATCTGCAAGATCTATATGATCATCTTGAACTAACAAAGACTAGTATAGATAGATCACTCTCACATACAAAATTTGGCCAATGAAGAAGCCTGCTACGAATCAATTGTTCCTCACACACACACACACACATGAATGCTAACATATCTTTCTTGACATGTTCTGCTAAAAAATCGAATAAATTATGAACATTTCCATCTTTTCCTTAAAACCAATTCTCATTTTTCATTTCAAATACGTTCTAGTTCAGCTATAAAGTGTCAAACAGAGTAAATTTACTACATTTACAAGGTTTAATACGATCATAACTCCGGAGAAAGAACACACATGCCAATAAATCAAGAAACTTTCAATTCAATCCTCTCAAGATGGATCACAAGGATTCTACTGAGCAATGACCCTTTAAAGCAACGATAAAAACCCAAACTTTACATAATAAGAAGAACAACATAAACCGGGCCTTGTGGCCTAGTGGTAAAGGGGTCACAGCTGTGACTTCCGCCACCAGGGTTCGAGGCACGGCCACTGGCAGATTTACATAGGGGAATTGCCAGCCTCGTGGGATTAGTCCTTGGGCCTAGGAAGCCTTTGGAGACCCGCGGTTATTCAAAAAAAAAATTAAAAAAAAATAAGAAGAACAACATAGAACTTACATGCCGTCGCCAAAATCTTCATTGATAATCTCCTTTATACTCTCACCAAAATGCATCACTGCTTCATTCAACCTAAATCAAACCCAAGAAAAAATCAAAATTAATCCCACAAAAAAATATGTAAAATTTCCAGAGCAAACCTGTAGATAGTGGGTTCTTGAATGAGATTAGGATCATAAGATCTCCACGGCGGAGACATCATATCTCCGATTAGTTCATCAGTCAGAGCCGGTAAAGCTTCCTTAAGCTTCGGGACTGTGTCCGGTTTGAGCTGAGCTTGGCGACGGAGAAGCTGAGCTACGTAGACGTTGGTGAGACCAGTCTCCGCCGCTAATTGGCTAAAAGTCTTGCCGGAAGCTGTTTTCACGGCGAGAAGCTGATTTGTAACACTCTGTTTCTTCGCCGCTTCCATTTTTTCCGACCAATCAATCACTTTTGTCTCTTCCTCATTCTTTTTATGGAAATTATTTAGTTTTAGATTTTAATTAGTATCTTTCAAATGGGCTGAGTATCTCTAATCTTGTAATGGGTCTTTAAATGGGCTTTTAATTTAGGGATATTACAAGAGAGTTTAAGAGAGAAAGTGTTAGTTATTGTGTGGTTCTCTCTTAACAACACTTTCTGTCTTAAATTCTAGGCCTGGGCATAATATCCGAGTCCGAAGAACCGAACTGAACCCGACCTAAAAAACCCGACCCAAACCCGAACTAGAAGTTTTAAAATATCCGAACGGGTTCTAAACTTCACAATCCGAAAATCCGAACCCGAACCCGACCCGAACCTGAACCCGAACAAGTACCCGAACATATCCGAAATATACATACATAGATATAATATATTAGTAATATTTATACTTGTAATAATCTAAGTGTCTAAATTATTCGGATATTAAGATATTTTCTGTTGTTTTAGCTACTTTTGGTTAGATTAGGGTATAAAATACTTAAAATTTATAGATTTTTTGAGTATTTTCAATACTTTGCATATAATGGGATACAAATTTTTTAATATTTGGATACTTCGAGTATTTGGATACCCGATCCGAACCCGATCCGAATCCAATCCGAATCCGAAGTTTTAAAATACCCGAACGGGTCTTAGTTTTCTAAACACGAAAAACCCGACTCCAAAAAACCCGACCCGAAACCGACCCGAATATCCGAACGTCCACGCCTATTAAATTGAGTCTGAGGCTGGTTTGCCACTAATTGGAGAAAATGAATCCGGCATGCCATTTTGTGATCTGAATGCCACTGTAAATGTGATATTCCCAAATTACCCTTAATGAAATAAGAGACGATTGGTACAACTAAGAGATAATAGTACAACTGGTACAATTAAGAGATAATAGGAAAACTGATACAAATAGTATAAGTGAGAGATAATTGGACAACTGGTACAAATGGTATTACTAAAAGATAATAGTACAATTGATACAATTGGTATAACTGACATATAAATAGGTACAACTGGTACAAATAGTTAGGTACAATGGTACAAATAGTTAGGTACAACTGGTACAAATAAGTAGGTACAACTGAAACGAAGCAATTGTAATTTTAAACCCTAGCGCCGTCACACTTACTAATTCGCCTCTTCTTGTTTTTTTCATCGTCTTCGTCGCCGATTATCCGCCGTCAACCTTCTTTGTCGAAGTTTGTGAACCGTTTTTCTTACCAAACGATTGCGCACTTCAAAGGACGAAAGCACGAGGAGATATCCATGGAGAAGAAACATGAAGAGAGATCCATGATTAGTGAATCTAAGAAACCCATGGAGAAGAAACATGAAGAAAGATTCAATCTATGATGAAACGCAAAGAGAGATCTATGGAGAAGATAGATCTAAAGTTTCATTGATGATGATGGTGATGGAGAAGAAAAGCTATAAAGTGAAAGATAAAAAAAAAATCTAGAAAAAATGAAAGAAGAAGAAAAAGAAGAAGAAGCATGAAAGAAGAAGAGGAGTGAGTTGGATTGGTGGCAGAGATATGTAATTATCAAATTAGGGTAAGGGTTTTTGGTCATTTTCTATTTATTTGATTTAAATTCTTTTATTTTTATTATTCTAAAAAATTGGGTGGTTTTCTATCCTTTTTATTTCTACATAGTGGCATTCTAGGCATTGTTTCAATTAAATTCTCTCAAAAGCAAAAATTATCACTAAAAATAAATTTATTACAATTTTTGCTTTCCGGCGTCGTTGTTCTCTCATGTGAAAAGAAGCTAAAGCTATATGTATCTATCTGGTCACGCCAAATGTTTTTTTTTTTTTTGGCCATGTTAGTAGAGATATACATATACCTCTGATCCTTTTTTTTTTTTTTTTGATCAAAGTACCTCCGATCCTAAGTTCAATATTTCTAATCCATAATAGATATATGTTGGTCAAGTGTTTGTTTTTTTTTTGTATTTAGTTGAGAGATTATTCTTTTTTTATCAACAGTTGAGAGATTATTCTAAAGTACTACTATTTTTCTGCTTTAATCCTTTGACCAAAACTAAAAAAAATATAGAAAATAAAACATTTTAAAAATAGATATATGTTGGTCCAGTGTTTTTTTTTGTATTTAGTTGAGAGATTATTCTTCTTTTTTTTGTATTTAGTAGAGAGATTATTCTTTTTTTATCAACAGTTGAGAGATTATTCTAAATTACTATTTTTCTGCATTTTTCCTTTGACCAAAACTAAAAAAAAATACAAAAAATTAAAACATTTAAAGAAAAAATTACTCTAACCTGGGGTTTAAGTAATTATTGGCTGAGAAAAAAGAAGAAGAAGTAATGACCTATTGTAAACCACCTTAATTTTGTGGTATTTTAATTTTAATGTTTTTAAATCCCATTTGATATTTAAAAACAAAAATATTAAAATGTAATTTCTGACAATGCCATTATCTGTTTAATTTGACTTCGCAATGTTTTTATTTATTCGCTTGATAAACGTTTATACGTATCGTCTTTGTTTATTTATGATTAATGATTATCAAGTGGTGTTTTAAAATTCATGCACGTTATTAAACTACGTAACTTATAAGTTAGAATAATGATATATTTTTTATAGATAAATGCGCAGAAATGATCCTAATTATGAGTAATATAGGAAAAACCTTACTTGAAAAAACTCAAGCTGTACTTAATTTGACTTGGTGATTGTCTGCCTTAAATCTGGGATATATTCATTTCAGACTTCATGTATTACTACTAGTTACTAGTGTTATCAAATTTTGGTTTTACTTTTGCTATTTTCTTCCATAAAGACTTTGAAGTTTTTGGTAGGAGATTTTGAATTGGAAACTTTGACTTGCATTTGTCATATTTATAAATACTATTTTCAAAAATATATAACTTTGTAGATGTTATTAGATTTAACCCCTATGATTATTAATGATATGGTCAATAGTGTATCCCAAAATGCAAAATTTAAATAAAATTATCTTGTGAGATATTAAATGAAGGAACAAGCAATACGTCCTCGGAAATAATTATTCTCTAAACATTTTAATATTGTGTGTAAAATACTAATAAGGATCTAAGCAATATCTTCGTCAAGTCTTTGCAAACTAAAAATTTAAGGGTTATATTAATTGATATGCATAGAGGATTGCAAAATTAAAAATCTATCCACACTTATTTTTTTATTAGTTCTCTTTCTTCTGACTCAATTAATACCAAAATTATCCTTTGTTAGAATTAAATGCTAACAAAAATAATAACAACATAAATAATTTAGTGTTAACAGTAAAAATAACATTGTTCATTTGTTATGGGAAACATTATCTATCATTGGAATCAATAAGGAAACAATGATTTTTGTAGTTATCTATTTGATTAACTATGTAAATCAAATTGTATCGCGATAAATAAAAACTAAAACACTGTTCGGCCAACATCAAAAACGCTATTCATCACGAGATAAAATAAAAAGATAATGATTTTGCTGATTATTTATTTGACTAGCAATATAAATCAGATTGTATCACGATAACTTTTCAAGTTATATGATAAATTTATATTTATCATGTTAAATTATTTATTATCTGATTGATATCAACTAACTTATATATTGACATGTTTATTTATTTCAACAATTTATTTATTACCGTTAACTTATGCATTAGCATCGTTAACTTATGCATTAGCATATTTATTTATCGTGATAACTTGTTTATCATGGTTAACTTATGTGTTATCGTGGACGTAAAAAACAATAAAATTTCATTCTTCTCGGGTATCCTCCTCTGTCGTCATTCTTCCAAATTTTCTTCTTCTTTCATTGTCACCTGCAACTCCAACCCATGTTCACCTGCAAATTTCCTTTTTATTTCCTTTATCTTCGTCCTCTCCATCTTCACTTTAAATTACAAAACTATAATTTTCATCCCAAAATTCTTCAAATTAAAAGTTTAATCCATCCAAACTCATGTAAGTTCTCTCTATTTTTATGAATCGTTTGGTGATAATTGTGTGTTACATATAAAAACAATGAATTTTATTAACCAAATGGAGAATTGGATATAAAATCTGTTTGAAAAAAATGGAAGTGACGATGAAGAAAGAAGATGATTTGGAAAGAGGAGGATTTGGAAGAAAGACAAATAATCAAGTGTTTAGAAAAAGGGTAAAATGGTAAAAACATTATTCTCTCTCTTGCTCACTTAATTAATAAAAAGCATGCATACAGACTTAATTCTTTGGTCTTCTGAGCATAGATACTGATATTTGCCAAAATTTAAAGGAAAAAGTTTTCTAACTAAACTCACATTGTGATCATAACAAATTCACTTCTTCATAGGAAACATACATTTTTTTAATAGGAAACATACTTAAATTTCGTTTCCTGACAGAAAAAAAGAAGCCGTATCTCATAGTAGTAAACAAGAGAAACAGATAAACATGAATGAATTAATTAATTAGTCAAAATTCTGAAAATAGCAAAGGTCTATCATAGATTAGAGATAGATTGAAGAAATTAATAGGTTCGTATTCCTAATAATTTAGTCAATCGATTAAAAAAATTAGCTGAGTTTGTGTTTTAATAGGATTTCGGGCTCGTGTTTAGATTTTTGGGAAGTGAAACGACATCACTTTATTAACTGAGATTTAAGAGATAAAACATCCGGTGGTTAACCAAAATCTCATAAAATAAACTCGAGTAAAACTATTTTTTTGGATATCCGCCCGTTTTAAACGCATAGTTTTTGGATGCAAAACACAAGATTTAAACATGAATTTCGGATACCCACTAGATTTTAACACATCTTTAACATCCCTATTTGGGATTCATAGAACATTTCCACTGTCTTGTATTTCCTGATTAATTATTGGAATGGTCGAAAAGTAAACATACTATTTCCACCAGTCTTGTTCTACGATATAAGTTAATTCAAATCAAAATTAAAAATCCGTTAGACTCCGTCTTATTTTTTTTTCTATCAATAGACATGATATCTGAACTAACATACCGAATGTGATGTAAACAGTGTGCACGAAAATTCAATAAGTCATATAAGACTGATCAAAGTGATTAAAAATGTTGTTAACCAAAACATGAAAGCACACTTGAAAAAAAAACAATAATTAAGCATCGGACCAAGACAAGGTGGAACCAATACAGACAAATATTTTCTATGAGATTTACTTATGTAACAAGACAAGAATTTTAAATAATATAAACTTGTAATCTGACAGAGAAACAATAATAAGCCAGAATGTGGTTAAAAAAAATGATTTTCACAGGTAAAATATGATAATGTTAAAATGGTATAATTTTGCTACATGATTATGATAATAAATTAATAATATATTAATTGAAAAAAATATTAAAAAGGGATAAAGAAATATACAAGTAGTCAGAACTTAAGTTGTAAATATTGACAGAAAAAAGTAAAGTTGTAGATTTTATTAAGAAGATAACAGGGTTATAAAATTAGAGACAAAAAGGAATAAAATCCATTACAGTTGAATCATATATGTGTAAGCATTTCTATTTTCTAAATTGGAAACTACATTTTATTGAAAATATTGACTAATAAAAATCTTGACTAAAATTTTAGAATATTCATTTTCAAAAATGGGAAAATCTTTTATTGCCAAAATGTAAATTATTTTTCTATATCAATAAGATAAGTCAATATTGGTTTACTCATTCCATCATATATATATATATATATATATATATATATATATATATATATATATGAGCTGAATAGGAAATGTAAATTTTAAATTGGAGAAATCTGGTATATTTGAACATAAGAAAAAAGTAAAAATTAAGTATTAGTAAATTTTATCAAATAAATATAGATAATTTATTTTTAATCAATATATAGAAATGCCATTCGTGACAAAAAAAAATGTACGATATTATTTCTTACAGCTTATGTTTTACACTTTTTCTTGGTCTTAACCATAATTTTTACAAATGTATTCATACAAATTGGTCCAAATTTATTAGAAAACAAATTTAATAAAAATATATAGCTTTGAAACGAGCCAAACACAGCTTTAATAAAAATTTAAATTTAATAAAAATAAGAAAACGCAAACGTCGGGTGTTTTGAAACGAGCCAAACACAGCTTTAACTTGTGGGCTATATATATAGCTTTGCCCATATAAGAACAAAACATAATGTGGCTTGGCTTATCTCCTCAGCACAAGTGTTTCCTCTTAAACTCATCCAATAGTTTATAGTCGTTTACTCTTCAAATCCTTCTTCTTTCCCATTCACAATTCCTCAATTTTTCATTTTTAATTAATCCTCCATTTTCTTTTTCTGAAAAACAAGAAAAGTTAAAACAATTTCGGTTTTAGAATTCCAAGAAATCCGGGAATGAGCGTATCTCTCTAGCTAGACTCATTACGAATCAATTCCCATTTCCAGATCCAAATCCATTGTGTTCCAACTAAAAAGAGGTAAAATCAATCTACATTTCTCTTAGTTTTTTCAACAAATTTGTTCATTGGTCTTTGTGCTTATTAGAAGGTAGAAGAATTTAAATTAGATTTCGATTTAAATGCAACAAAATTTTTGGGTTTATTAGAAGGTAGAAGAAGAAAGGTCACCATAGATTGAGTCTACTACCATTGTTCTCATCTTCAATGTAGCACCTAGAGATTCCAAATTAAATAAAAATATAATAATTATCTTGGTTTTATAGTAAGTTAGAAGAAGAAAGGTCACTAATAAGTTCGAGTCTACCATTGTACTCTATCTTCTTCTTTTTTTGGTTTTCTTCATTGTACTCATCATTAATGGTAGACACGTAATTTGATTAGATTTTAAATATCTCATTTTCGTATTATGAAAAGTTCTTTCTTAGCGTAATTTACTTGAAAATCTAATCCGATGTATTTGGTCAATGTAACTTATTTATCTACAATTTGGTTATACAAAAAAACAACTTATTTATCTACAATGCAGGGATTAACAAAACTG